GATAGCCTCTAGATGGGTAACCACATGTCTAATTCAAACTCTATGGTTATGGAGGAAGTGGAGAATGGATTTGAAAAGATAACTAGCAGTCTGCAATGGAATTTACACGTACTGTGACTGCACAAGTTTCTTAGACTCTGCTTCTTTGGTTAATAAACGTGCCTCTGAAATAATACATACACTGAACCATGGTTGGCACACAGTAAGTGCTCAATAACAGTTACATTATCATTTTATTTTTAGTCTATTCTTAGAGCATGTGGGTTGGTTTATTTCTTACTTCTCATTCTTAACTCATCAGAAACTTGAAATTTTTCCCAAGAGTCCTCTCCCAGTGGAGTCACACAGGATGCCCTTAATTCCTCTGGCAAGTGATTGTGACACAGGTCTTACAGGGAAGTTCATTAGCATCTCAGTGTCTAAAGTTTTTACTGGGGTATCCTCTGCTTAGCACATATTAAAATTTCAGATTTTCAGAAGGAAAGCAGATGGTTAGTATGACCCATATAGTCTGTACAGTTTAAGCACTCTTATCATTTGTGGAAAATTTTATATTGGTGTAGGAAACTGTTGACTGTTCAAGTTCCCAGATGCCAGCCGAAGGCCAAGCTTATAAGCAGGCTTTTCTAAAGATAGTCTTAGGCCTGCTATGTTCTTTTCTCAGTATAGCCACACCTACTTGCAAAAGAGAATGGGAAAGATAGCCTCTAGATGGGTAACCACATGTCTAATTCAAACTCTATGGTTATGGAGGAAGTGGAGAATGGATTTGAAAAGATAACTAGCAGTCTGCAATGGAATTTACACGTACTGTGACTGCACAAGTTTCTTAGACTCTGCTTCTTTGGTTAATAAACGTGCCTCTGAAATAATACATACACTGAACCATGGTTGGCACACAGTAAGTGCTCAATAACAGTTACATTATCATTTTATTTTTAGTCTATTCTTAGAGCATGTGGGTTGGTTTATTTCTTACTTCTCATTCTTAACTCATCAGAAACTTGAAATTTTTATCAGGAGTGGAATATGGACTGCCGTCTCCCTATTAGCTTTTTCTCTTAGAGATTTTGGGGTCATTTTCATAGTGTAACCTAAGTGTACTCAAACTCCCAGCCTTTGGAGATAATTCTCTCCTTTAGCATCCAACTTTAATAACCAATATCACCATCCCAAGCTCACTACAGGAAATTCAAAGTTCTCCCAAATCTTCCTGAGTGTTCTTAATTTTCTTTTTAAAAAATTTATTATTATTATTATTTATTCTTGATTTTCTTGGTGGTATCGTGCATGTCTTGTTTGTTGCCTGTTTCTTCTTGCTTTGAACTCTTAACCTTTGGTTTCTCCTTGCTCATTTCTCTGAATCTTGTATTTTCAAACTTTCATTGTCCATTTTGTTCCAAAAGGTGGATATGAACCTTCTGTCATTCTTCAGAGCTGGACTACCACAAGGCTGCCAAATATTTGCTTTATGTTGGTAAATACAGCTCATGAAAGTTTTGTGAGTAAGGGAGAAGATAATGAAAAGGTAATAGTAGACATCATAGCAAATGATGTTCCTAAGTCACACTTGTCACAGGTACTCCTAATTTGTCTTCTTTGGTTTTTGCCTCTCACCCCCTAGTACTGTCTGCCCTGTTGCTGCAACCTGCTGCAGAAGACTCTCCGTCTTCTAAATCTTCACTCTGCTACCTTTGGAAGGCAGCTGTGCTCACCACTAACCCACCAATGCACTGTGCTACCTTTGGATCCCAACCTCCTTACCCCATGCCACCAGGAGAAACTGAAAAATCCCTCAACATTTAAAAAACAAAAGCATGTAAACAAAAACAAAAAATCCAAATCAGAAGTTCTTTCCAAGAAAGTCTTTATGTTTTTGTTCTTTTAATGATTTTATTTAATCCATCCTCCATGTCCTTTCATAATGAAGACCCTACTGCTTCAGCTTCATTTCTATTACCTCCCTTTTTGTACCTCAGCTGTTTAGGATACCTTCAGCTCCTCCAACATATTCTCTCCTGTGTCCGAAGCTTTGTACATGTGGTGCTCACTGTTTGGAACACCTCCCCTGTCTCTCTAACTGGCTGAATCCTACACATTTTTTTAATATAAGCTTAAATGTCATTTCCTCTAGGAAGCCTTTCTTAAACTCTCTACGTTACATTAGACTCTACTACTGTGTACTGCCATAGTAGCCATATTAGTTTTCTAGGGCTGCTATAACAAATTACCACAAACTGGGTGACTTAAAACAGAATAAATTTATTCTCTCACTGTTCTGGAGGCTAGATATCTGAAACCACTGTGTGTGCCAGGCCATGCTCTTTCTGAAGGCCCTAGGGCAGGACGTCCTTCCTTGCCTTTTCAGACCTTCTGGTGGCTGTCATCAATCCTTGGTGAGCCTTGATTGTAGATGCATGTCTCCAGTCTCTGCCTCCTTTCTTCACATGGACTTCTCTCCTATGTCTTTCTGTGTTCCCTTCTCTTCTCATAAGACCCACCCTAATGACTTTATCTTATCTTGATTACTTCTGCAGGGATCTTATTTCCAAGTATGGTCACATTCACAGGTACTAGGGGTTAGGACTCCAACATACCTTTTTAGGGGATCCAATTCAACTCATAATAGTAACACACATACTTAGCAAACATCATAGTAGTAGTTATTTCTTTAAATTGTATTTTGTTAGACTATAAACTCCTTGAGAGCAGAGACCTCATCTGTTCACCATTATATCCCTAGCTCCCAGCAGAGAATCTGATGTATTGCAGATACTCAGAGAATATTTGAATAAATGAAATGAAGTGAATGAAATGAAAACTGTCCAGTACAGAATTCTGTGTTTTACTCCTCTGTCCAGCTTCTACTTCTTTCCTCTCTCAAAGCCTAGGTGTCTTCTCGAATTCCTGAATCTAGATCAACAGTCAACAAATCCTACTAAACTAGCTCCTGACTATCTTTTGTTGATGGCTGCCTTCGCCTTCTCTTTTGTAGTAATTATCACCATCTTAATTCAGAACATTGTCATCTCTCCCATGGACTGCAATGAAGGCCTCTAGGATGTTCCTTTAACATTCTTTTCCAGTCCCTTTTCTATCCATTTGCCACACTGCAGATTGAGTGATCATGTTAAATGTAAACCTCATCTGTCATTCTATTACTTAAAATCTGTCAATGCCTTCTCACCCCATATGGGTTAAATTCCGAAAATTTCAGTGTGGCTTCTGATGCTGGCAGTGATCTAGTCCCAGCCTTGCTCTCCATTCACCCTCAGCCACCTTCCTTCGTGTTCCTTGTGTACTGGGCGTAATGTAGTTTTCATCATCTCCCCGATAGTGTTCTCTTTGTTGATTCAGACTTTTGTATATGCTGTTCCTTCTGCCTGGAATATTCTTCCCTTTCATCTTGGCCTAACTTCTTCATATATTCCATGTCTCAGCTAAAACCTCTTTTCCTCAGCTAAGCCCCCGTGACTGCTCTCCCCACGCTGAGTTAGGGGCCTTTGCTATTAGTTCCTCCAGGGTAGGTTCTCAGGGCACCTCACATTTCTCTTCTGGAAATCTCACCACACTTACATTCTTTGTTCACTGTCTTCCATGCCGTAGTATAAACCACATGAAGGCCAGGGCCATGTCTGACTTGTTCACCTCTGTGTCCCCAGCGTTACCTGACCTGTTTATGGTGCTCAGCACAATTTTGTTTGAAGATGGATGCATTGGTCAGCTGCTATGTTTCTTTGTTCTTTGATTTGGCTCTAATTTTGGGAAGCCCACTTGTGATGCATGGTTTCTAGAAATCAGAAATCTTGCTTGACTCCTCTCAGTTCTTGACCTTTGCGGAATTTCCCTTGCTCAGCAAACCTCCTCCCCTGGAGGAAGAAGTCTATGGGGGTTAGAGTGGGGGAAAGCTTTATTAGGAGGCAGCACTTTAATGTTGCTGGGATTGAAAAGGGGAAATCTTTACCAATTCCCAACAGTACAAGTACAGTACATTGATGACAATGTACTGAAGAAATGACAATGTACTGTTGAGGTGAGATGGAGGGGCCATGTGCAATTAACTAGATTGCCTCTCTTACCACCATTCTTAATGGAGGTGATGGGAGAGGGCAAATGAAGAATGTTGCTGATGGTAAAGGAAAAATGGAGGTGGCTATACATGCACCTACTATTCACTGCCTCTTCTACACGTTCTTAAAATGTTTCTAACTCTTGCTATTTTCCTGAAGATGAAGATATGTAAGTGCACAGTATTTGTAATTTCCCCCTTCATTGACCAACAGTATAGTATGTCCCTCAAATTTGAAGTATCTTATATTTGATCGTCTATGTATGTTATTTTTCATTGAACAAAATGCTTGTTGGGGCCTCCTGTGTTCAGTTCCAGGATGCAAAGAAGAAGACAATAGATTTTGGGTTTCTTGAAGAAAGAAGGCTGGCTGGAAAGAAAAATCCATCCATTTTAAGATGTGATGCAGTGTGGTGGGTGCTATGACAAACAGGTATGTACAGTGTTAAAGAACCCAGAGGAGGGAGGCAGAACTTCTAGCTATTTTTGGACGCTTGTACATTGCTTTGTCTGATACAAGTGGTTATAGCATCTCAAAGGCTTTTGATTGCATCTTTAATGCATTAACTTGTCTTGGGATTTTATACATCATCATCTCTCAGTCCCCTGGGAAGCAATAGATCTAAAGGTTAAAAACAGGGGGTTTGGAAGCAGGTCGACTTGGATTTCAAATCTGGGTCTGCCCCTTACTTTCCAGCAGGATGAAATCACTTACTCACCCACATCCGTAAGAGTATGCAAGTGCCAGAATTAATATGATGGATGCAACACATTTAGCATGGTGCCTGGCATGCGGGAGATGCTCAGTTAGATCTTTCTTGAGGTAATTGTAGCTTTTTTGGGTGCTGGTGGTGATGACAGAAATGTGTTCATGTTAAGTTTCACAGACCACATAGAGGCTTAGTTGTTAATTTTTTTAAAAGTTGTTTATTGGTTGAAATGATTTAAACAATTATATAAATATAATTATAAATATTTCTTTAAAAATGTGTATAAATTAGCAATTGATTTGAGGTAAGCCTACACATTCCAAGAAATGATCTGGCTCTGAAACATCGAGGGTATTCAAGCTGCATGGCCATTTTATGTTATTTTTTCAAAATTAATACATAAACTTGTTTCAAGTGGCACTCCATGAAAAATATAAATATTAATCACTGGTATAAATTAACTCAACATCACATAATTAAATATTAATAAATTAAAAATAGTTAAAATAGTGTCGTAACGCTCACACCTGAAGTCCTTCATAGAGAACAAACAGATTTCTGACCAGAGGAAGGAATGCCCATGAACTATAACAATCTTAGATGGCCAGGTTAATAGTTACGAACAGCCCGTATGCCGATCTCCAGGAAGTCTTCAAAGCCCCTCATGATCAAGTAAATGGTCGAGTTCTTCAGCCACTGAGCCTGTGACTTCAGCTTAAACAACAGGCCTTCTCTTGCTGATGGGCTAGGGATGCATACTAAATTGAAATTTTTCATCTGAAGTGAAAAGAAAACAAAAAGAATTACTTAAAATTGAACAGGTCCTCTGCAGTATTGGCACCACCTGGAGTTTGTTAGGAATATGAATCTCAGGTCTCACCCCGGACCTGCTGAATTAGTCTCTGCATTGGAACAAGATCCCAGGGGATTCCTGTGTACATTAGCGTGGGAAGCCCTGCATCAAGGCAAGAAGCTAGAAAAGGTAGAGGCAGGCTTAATCCCCATGCGCCTGTTATCTGTGCAGGGCATTTCCCGTCACACTTTGGTTCGTGTATACGCTGTGCCACCAAACCTTAGTAATGCGGCATTTGAACAGCTAGCTGGCAGTGACCAAACGCTTAGGTACCTGCTTTTCCAGCCTTTAGCTATTTTTCTGCAGTAAATTTTCTAGCAGAAATAGGGAGAAAGAATAGAAACTACCCATGATGACAAAAACATCACTTGGCAATAACTGAAATATTGAAGTAAGTTTTGTACTCTCTGTTCTTTGTTATATGGATCAGTGAGGAGGGTTGAATGTGTTTCCTTCTGCTTCTACAGATTTTTCTTATTTCTTAAGCAATGAGGGATTGATGTTAAAATCCACCTCATTTAATGTAGTTTTCAATACAGTAGTTATTGATGACTTTTGCAGAAGAGAATAAAAAAAAAGTGTAACTATCAGGAAATATTTGTTAAAACCTTTCCTTTACATGTGGCCATGCTTCTTAATTGGCTTTACATTCCCAAGTTGTCGAGGCTGTTTCTTTGAGCATGTCATCCCACACCATGTGAGCAGATGAGGAGAGACTCACCTTTTCCTGTAGGGCCTGGACCAGGGCTTTGATGCTGCCCTCCAAATTCTTGGCCTTGTCCTCATCACCATCATAACTGCTCTGGACATACTCCAGGTAGATCTCATACTCCAGAAGACCACTGGTAAATCTTAGTGCACAGATATCCTAAGAGGAAAGATGGTGGGAAAATTTGTTATTGTTAGGAACATATAATTGATTTTAGAAATTAAAATTACTGTAATTCATAACTTCTTCCTCTGCCCCTCCAAGGAACTTCAAGTACTTCTTAGGCATGCTCGAGACATTGGACAGCATCAGCTGTCCCATTTTAAATGTCTGGACAATCAGAGACACCATTTGATCACTTTTATCCAAAGCCCAACAGATGCTAGAATGTGGTAAGGGGGTTCTTTTCTAATTGTCCCCTTAATGCTCTTTACTTTGGCTGCACTCCTGCCCTTGTTAATGTTGGGCTGAAACCTCTTATAGAATAATTAGAAGTCAGTGCAGGTCATCTCACTGTCTGGAAGGAGAAGGGGGTAGAGAATGACCTCAGCAGGGAGGGCAGGCCTGTATCCTGCTAAGGGCAGTCGAGGAGGAGAAAGGTTCCTGGAGCACCTTACCCAGAATGGACTAGCTACACCTGCTGGGGTTTCTAACACTGGACAATTGTGAAAATCCCAACACAGAAGGGCTGTCTCTAATTATGCCATTCAAAAATAAGTTGCCATTAACAAGATTTAATTTGTCCTCCTCATGAAATTTACATTTATCCTCTCCTTTACTGTGGACCTAGTCTATATGTATATAGACACTGCATGAAAGATGGGAGCACTTTTGGCTAAGGCATATGTAAAAGCGAATGTGATGCACTCATACCTGATTGTACCCAGATTGGAAGCATCCATCTCTCTCTTCCAGTTTTGGAAGGTGCATGTTGTTTGCTGAAACTGCGTCCTGGTCGTTACACTTGTCAAACTTGCTACACAGCTGGGAAGGAATACCACAACAGTTAATGTATGAGTGCCCCTAAAACAAACACCACTAGAGGGCTGATTCATGTTCTACCATGGCCAGCAAGTCCTCTAAGAAACATGAAGTCATAAGTATTAACATCCAGTCAAGTAGGTCTAATAGAGACAGGCACACTTGGGTTCACTTCCAGGCTCACCTGTGACTTCAGGCTTGTTACCTATCCTGAGTGTCAGTGTCCCTATCTCTGTAAACTGGGGATAATGAAACACCTCTGTAAGTTTGTTTGAGGGTGGGACATGATATTTATACAATGTAAAGCCAATTTAGAAGGATGGCCACATGTCTGGCACATAGTAGGCACTTAATAGAAGACAGGAATTTGGATAATAATTGCATCAATATGATTTGAGCCTGAGAATATCCCAGGTGGAAGAACTTGTGAGCCCATCTAGCCCAATCCCATAATTTTACAGATGGGGCCCAGAGGTGGTAGGGAATTTGTCCAAGATCACCAAGCTGTTTCAGCAAAACCAGAACTAGATTTGGACCACCGAATTCCCTTTCCTATGTTCTTTACTTTCTACCAAACAGAGGCAAACTACCTTATATTTAAAGCTTGAAAGTTGCTTTAAATTGTCCTGAGAAGCTGAACACTCATTTCAGGTGGTATTTTTCTAATCCTCCCAAAGTCTAAGGGACACAAAGAAGATTGACACATCTTGTTTTTTGGTTAGGGAAAAGGGAGTCTGGAAAGGCAATGACCCTTAGCTCATGCCAACTATGGAGCTGGGAATAGACTAGGAGGCATGGATTTCAGCCCCATTCTATATTTTTCAAAAGGGAAAGGAACTCTCTGAGACCAGCATCAAAGGAGAAATACAGAAGACAACCTGCCCATTTGGCCTCAAATCTAAACTGCTCTGGAATCTAGCAAAGACCTCCCCATGCAGGAGCCCTGTCCACATCCAGGGGCAAGGAGATGAGTGCCCACATGCTCTACATCACCCTCAGCTGAGCCTACCCACCTCCTTTCTCAGTTCACTGATTTTAGAGAGCATGTATTTCACACGCTGTTCCACGTTTCCTGGAGTGGTGAGTGATGGCTTATTTGAGGTGACACCACCTGCAGGTGCTGGGGTAACGAAGCCAGTAGCCATCACCAGGAGCAGCCCCAGTGAGAGGAACGCTGGCGGGAAGGCACCTGTGCAGGAGGGAAGGGAGAGCAGCCAGTGAGCAGCCTGCACAGCTGGCAGAGCTGCACTGCTGACTGCTGGCCGTGGGCCAGCTCTGGGGCCGACACACCCCCTCCTTCAGCCACCGGGGCAGTTCCAAGGCTGGGATTTCCTTCACTTACTTGTGAAGAGGGAGTTCATGGCTGGGTTTCTGGAGGGCAGATGGAGCTCTCTTTCGTTCCTGGTGGGTTCAAGGGCAGAATGAGCCTCAGACATCCCCAGTCTCATATTTATTGGGGGTTGAGACTCTAATATTGAGACTCATGGGAAAATCCCACATTTGATAAATCTTTGTTGGAGGGTGGGGGTGGGGCCAGAGCGGGTGGGGGCTGATTGGAAACCTTATTAAGATTGTGCAATGTGACGTCTTTTAGCATCACACAGGAATCACATCCAGGGGGAGGAAACGTGCGGACTGGGTCTCTGTAGAGGAGTCAGCCCTAAGAAGCAGGATCACTCTACTTTCTTTCTTTTTTTTTTTTTTGGTGACTCAGCACTTTGGCATATCTTGAGAAGGAAAGTAAAGCTGAAGTCATGCACAGTTTAACAGGAGTTGGGGGAGAAGCTAAGGCTGACTATGATTAAAAAAATACTTTGGTTACCAGATTAACAGGCTGGAATTTAGTATTCCAGTTTGTTCGTATTTGTAAAAACCTAAGATGTTTTAGCCCCAGTTTCTTCAGACGGCACTGCAGCCTACCAGCCTGGGATTACAAATAAGAGGAAACTACGAGCCATCTGCAGGACTTTTCTTCCTGCCTGTCGCTGTGACCAGCTGTTGCAGAACGGCCTGCCTGCCCCCAAACCTCGGGTAGAGTCTCTAGGTGCAGTGGGGAGGGCAGACATAAAGGGCTCCTTTGGGCCATCACCCTCTCCTGCTCCAGCCCGCATCTGCCAGGTGTGTCCTGCTGGCTCCCTGCTGGCCCCCAATGACCTCTGGACACTCTCAAGGGGCCAAGGGGTTTCTGTTGTGCTGCTGGCTACCAGGCAATCTCACTCTTGCTGGGGAGCCCGAGGAGCCGGGCCGGTGCTGAGTCTGCCGGTGCCCTCACATCACTGATGCCCAGTAGGTCCAGGGCAGGAGTGGGGAGCATACACTCACCTCTGATGGGGAGTCCAAGGAGTTCTCACCACTCTTCTGCTGTATGACCTGCTCGAAGTCCAGAGGCAGCTGGGAGGAAATCTTCACAGACTCAGCTCTAGGCTCTGAATCACACTTTCCCTAACTCCTCTCTGGGACCCAAGCCCTCTTATAGGGCCAGCAGTGGGGGCCCCTCTGCCCTTATGACGTCTTTTGCCAGGGGTCCTTTTCTCATGTAAATAATTCTAAACCAATCTCCCAGTCACTCAGATACCTCTGGAGATTGGCTCCAGGCTGAAATTAGGACCCTTGTACAGCACACACACAAATTCTTTACAAAACACAGTGCTATCACCACAATCAGCTTCTTTGCTTTGTAAAGAGGATCTAATCAGGATTGCTAAACGGAGAACCTCTGCTAGGGTATTTAAAATATGAATCAATTTACTCAAGTCTTGTTTTGTGCACAACACTTTAGGGCTGGCCTGTCGTGGGGGGGGTGGGGAAGTGAGGTCATCCATTCTTTCACTGACTTTCTAAACCTGTGCAGGTAGGATTTCAGTTTGAAAATGAAAATGGGAGAGGATAGCTTAATGGTTTCATTTTTAGTGCTCTTGGGTCTTGAGCAACTCAGAAACCTCCAGTCGAGTCCTCTTTCCTGAGTGAAGCCATTTATCCCCACACCCCTGCTGTGCATGTCATAGGCCTCTCTAGTATGAGACTTTTTCTCACATACCTATTTTTTAGAAAATATGACCAAAAATTCAGAATATTTAGTGACTTGGCAATACAGATTTTTCTTTTCAAGTACAAGTTTTTAAAACAGGAAGTACATGTACATACTAAAATGTTCAAATAGGACATCAAGGCATCCAGAGAAAAATAAGTCTTCTTTCTTCTTTATCAGCTCCTCTCCTCAGAGGTAGTGCCTGACCCACAGTATTTTTAGCTTAATTCTGTTACCCTGATCTGGGTGAGGTTTTCTTGGCACTCTGGAACTCACCTCTGTATCTACATTATCTGTTTATATATTGTGTACACACACACCACACACACTATAGTTTCACATTGTCTGGATGCCATGTAGGTGATGGTAGGGCTCAGGTTCTTGAGTCATACAGCTTGGATTCAAAGCCCAGCTCTGCCACTTGCTGCTGGACCTGGGCTCAGTTGACCCAAGGATCTATGCCCTTGTTTGCTCCTCTGTAAAATTGGAAGAGGTACAGTTCTTCCCACATTGCCATTGTGAAGACTGAATAAGATAAAGTGTGAAAAACCCCTGGCACCCGTAATCCTGCAGTAAACACTTGACCTTTGTAGCATTCCTGGGCTTGGGGTCTCTGCCTCGGAGAACTGCTCAGCTCTGTCGGTCTGCATGCTCACTCTGAAGGCGCCAGACCGCGGCACTGGTGATTAGTTGGTCTCCCAGTCATTTTCCTCTGAAGAAATGAGGTTCTATGTTTTGTTAAAAATATTTTACTGTAAAAGTGGAAAGTGAATTTAAAAAAGTGATTTTCCTTCTTTTCTGAGAACATTAAGATCCCCAAACCTGGCCTCTCAACTTGAACACTGAGCCTAGCTTGTGTGTCTTGTGTCATGCTCCTACACCATTTCCAAGGCTCTCTGTGAAGTATTTTTGTGACAGAAGCCCTCAGCTTTCCCTGTTCATGGTTAAAATCTTGAAAATGGTCTTCCAGGGTGTGGGGAACTGACTTAATCCCAGACCTTATGCTCCTGGCAGCCAGAAAGGGCAAGTTGTGTGAGGATGGGAATGCATGTGTGTGGGAAGGTTGCAAGACACTGTCTGCCATCTTGCATATCAATCATTAGCATGTAGGGTCTTCATTAGTATCAATGCTTTTGGCTGGCATTTGATTTGGGGAGAAATGGGCTCACCGTTGCTCCACAGCATTAGTGCGACATCCATAACTCCACCATGATAGCTTCCTTCCTTTAGAGCTCACTGAATTTTCCACTTGGAGAGCTCATCCCTCATACTTAATATGTATAAATGATGAAAAAAGGCCACGCTGTCAGCATTTATTAACTAATGCCCCCAGTTGCCAGATGGCACCATCACTGATTTGAAGTGACTGCCAGCTGAGAACAAGAGAAACTGGACAAACGAGGATGGACAGGGAGGAGGAAGGGAAACCAAGATAGCTTTGCTTCTGTTATTTCCTTATTTAGGGCTGGTGGGTCCTGTCTGCGCCCCTCAGAATGACTTTCCTTGACTGCTTTCCTACATGTTGGTGGAGATTAGTTCAAAGAGCCTGTCAATGGATTTGAGGTGAAGGAGAACAAGTAGCTTCCATGTGGTCTTAAGTGCTCAGGTGAAGAGGGGTTCTCCACATCTCACAGGTTAAAATGTGGTGTTGTGTTCTCTGTCTGTATTCCTGGGTTTGAAGATGGGTGGGTCTGTAATTCAGCAGGAGGGAGCAGCCCAAGAGCAAAAGAGAATTCACTGGGTAGTAGAAAACTTGCAGGTGCTGACAGAATGTAGTTGCATGTGTTAGTAAGTCATAAGAAGTTTGCACACTGGAAAACAGATTGTTATGTAGCAGCTCCTTCCAGGATTGAGTCCCACTGAGAAGATAATGGGCCTGTAAGGCTCTGGGAAATGTCTCTGCTTTGGGGAAAGTGGTGGTGTTACTTGGAGAGAAATATTAAGGCCAGGTGGCATGTCTGCATGGAAAGGGCTGGCTGATCTTGGAGGGCAGGCCTTGGAGACCAAAGCTCTGGGCATTTCCCAGCGTGGCTCAGTTTCAGTCCGGGCCTCACAACCTCAGCTCTGATGTCCTCTTGTTGTTCCTGGTACCTTCTTGATCTGGCCGTAGCTTTTCTGAGGGCAAGAGTATGCTGGGGCTGGGCCTTGCTCTCCCTATCCCAGGGAAGGGGCACATCTGCCTGCTGGGTTTCTGATCCAAAACTGTGCAAGGAAGTCATCTGTCCTGTGCCCTTGTTGTTTTGCTCTGTGCTGATTTACCTTCCTCTGCTGAAGTGGAAAATCCCAGGCATCTCAGGAGGGAAGTGGCCTCTCCTGGGGCAATAGTGTAGACTCCCTTTGCCTTGGGAACTGCCTCCCCTTCCATGTCCCCTTTCCTTTGGTGTCCAGGCCTGGAAGAGAGTACCCAGACCTCCAGATGTTAATAAGACAGCTGCTTTGTAGCTGTTTTGGTGATGAGAACTTGCTTTGCTGATCCTGAAGGTGCCCCATTGGCCCCGTGCCTGAGAGCTGGGGAGGTCTCTCAGGCTGAGTTTCCATGCTCTGTCTCTTCTACATCTGCACGGTAGGACTTCTATGTTGGTGGCTGCTGGTTCTGCCTCACAATTAGGAAACTTCAACCTGTCAGCAAGGACAGAGTTAATTCATTCTATCAAGTCATTCACACCGTCTTTAGTTTATCCAAAGGTCTCAGTTTTCTTGAGCTCAGTGTCATAGGCAGAAACTAAGCATGCAAAACCATTGGCTGTTCACTTCCACTCTTTTCCCTCAAAATTAAGGTACTAAGAACCCATTTGATAGTATCATATGTAACGATAAGACCAGGGGATTCTGCTGGGCTGGCTATGACGTACTGCACCTCTGTTCCCTTCCCTTCTGGCTACTTAACTTACTGAAAGGAGAGTGTCTTTGTCTTCCTGAACTAAAAGTCATGTGTGTTCTCTTTAGCAAGCGAATCCATTAAGGTAGGGAGGGTCTGTCTAGTCTCCATGGTGGAATAATTTCCATGCTATGCTCTCAACATATTGAGCGCTGTAATTCTGAGACATTGGGTTTTTTTATTCCTGAAGACCTGTTCCCCTGGATTGATTAAAAATATTACAGAAGAATTCAGATCCAGGTAAGCAGGTGAAAGAATCATAGGTGATTTCTTCAAGCTGTTGAGTTCTATGCACTTATGTGTGGGTGTGTGCAGTGCAGAGCAGAGTCCTTAACCTATAGACTAAAGCCACAGCTCCTGGAGTGCTGCCTTCACTGTGTACGATGGCCTCAGAGGCCTGGATACCCAGGCAGCTGGGTGAGTGGTCTTCTGACACTGTGGTCTGCCAGGCCTGTAGCTCCTGCTGTGCTGCAGGGTTTCCACAGTGGTCTGTCTCTGAGCAGCAGTATTATGTCCCCCAAGGGCTCTGTGGGCTGGTGGT